GTGAGCGTGAACACTTGTCTTGTGGGTGTGTTTGTGTCCCTTTCAGATAATGATCTGTGATAGCAAGGGCCGAGATCCCTTCCAGCCCTCTCTCCCTAATTAAGGCGATTTTTTTATTTTGGTGTCTGAAGTTCGTTTTATTCATTTTTTTTTTTTTCCTCCACTGTGGAAGTCTGTAGACAGCTGTAGTTCTAGCCTTCCTGTTGTATGCTGCAGCACAGCTTCCACCCAGGTGTGCTGTGCTCTCTGCAGAGAGAGGTGCGTGCTAAAGAACAACCCCAGAATAATGAGAGTTGGCAATGCTGGAGTCTCTACAGGAGTGCATCTGGGTCTGCCTGGAAATGAAGGATCTCTTCATAAACATGTTGCTATACCAGAAGAAACCAGCTTAGAAGAACTTTGATCTTTACAAATACCTAATTGACTTGAGCACAGAAATGGGGCAGAAAATGCATGCCTTTTTCAATGCATTTTTTTCTTTTTCAGGCTTAATGTGATTTTAGTTTTTTACAGCCAAGTTAGCAAAGTTGAAATAAAATAGCTCCCAAACAGGGGAAATGTGAATCTGCAAAATGCATAATAGCTTCTAACTTCTGCTTTTCATCTCAGGGCCCTTCAGTTACCTGGATGATGTCCCGTTTAAGATAGGAGACAAATTCAAAACACCAGCCAAGGTTGGTTTACCCATTGGCTTCTGCTTGCCTGATTCTCCACAGCTTGTCAGAGAAGCTCAGGTAAGTGTGCTTTTAATTTTTTTCCCTTTCTTTTTTTTATATATCAGTTTTTGGCATGTTGCAAACTTGCTCTGTGCAGATTCACGGCATGCATGTATGTTTGCTGCAGTTTATTAACATGTGTTTAGTTCTAGAATTGCTCAGTTTTTGAATATTTTCCCCTGCCTTACTCGGATCCCACCCAGTGACAAAACCCACTGTAATGTGTGGGGAAAGAGAAGTTAACTCTGCTTTCTTCCTCTGGTTTCACATTGAAATTTCCTTGGCTTTTTACTTGCAATGAATTACGGGGATAAAACAATTGAGAGAGAGCATGTAAACATTTCTGAGTGGACTTTTGATACAGCTAAAGTTGTTAAGATTTACTTCAAAACATAGAACATTTTAGTGTAAAAATGCAAAACAACCTTAATTAATCAGTATTAAATTTTTTTAAAAAATTACCGAACAGCTGAATTAGAGTTCGGAGTCCTATGGTACTCCTAGGAAATCCCTTCGGAGAAGCAGGGAAATGGTTTTACTTTTAGACAGTATAACTATCTAACACTTCATAGTTTCTAAGGTCGGAAGGGACCTGAGCAGATCATCTAGTCCGACCCCCTGCCATGGCAGGAAGAGCACTGGGGTCAAGTGACCCCAGTAAGGTGGTCATCCAACCTCCTCTTAAAACCCCCCAGGGTGGGAGCCTGCACCACCTCACTTGGA